CCAAATTAAAAGCTGCTCCAGTGCCTATGTGTTATAGCGGGAAGACAGTCAGTACAAATGCTATCTTGATGTGGGAAACATAGGTATGCTGTAAAGGGGCTTTGTTACCTGCAGTAGTCAGTGAAGTTGTCCTGTTAGTACAGAGACCTGAATATTACTGAGATGTAGCCGAATGCGAATGTGCTAGATTTATTTCTTTTCAACAACCTACCTTCAGCTTTACAGTGCTGCAAAGATAACGATGAACTGTGGTTTTCTCGAATCGATCCTGAGCTGAACAGTTCTTGTCTTCTCGCATGACTAATGCACGTTTGAATACTGTCATGCAAGAATTGATTTCAGCTTGGCTGTAATCCCGAAAGATTGGTGCCAAAACTGGTTGATCTCGCAAGTTTCAAAACGATCAGAGCTGTAGCGTCCGAAATTGCCAAAGGTTTCTGTCTGTTTTTTCGAACGCTTCTGCTTAACTAGAAAACATTTGCGGCGAAATAACCACGCGATCATAATGTTTGATTCTGAACCTACAAAAGTTGGGAGATTCAGACTTCATTTGCGTTTTCTTTGAAAAATCTGGACCCGAAATAGATTGAATAGCTATTGTTTCAGTTTCTGTTTCTCTGTGCAACTGGCATTTTTCCAGTGCTTTGAATAGCGTCGCACCGCCTGGTGGTCAGCTTGCTGGCGATCCTTTCATTCATTTCGTCTGTTGTAGGGATTACCTGCTTAATGGTCCTCCCGACACATCCACTTAACAAGGCTTTAGTCGTTTCGAGATGTTGCTGGTGTTGAACATCACCGCATCGTGCGAAGGTGAGGCACCTCATCAAAAAAAAAAAAAAAAATCGCAGAAGTACTTTTCATGAGTATGCAGCATCCCTTTTAACTATGTGGAGCATATTTATACTGCGTACTTTGCTGACAGTGCGTAGGATCTGGCTCGTATATGTAAATAGGGGCGACAACTGGGAAAGTTAAAATTGGAGTCTGTTGAAGTTACACAGATTTAGTTTGGTTCACGGTGTTACCACGATGTAGCTGCACAGATCATCTATTGCCATAATTTATTATAATGATTTAGAGGAAGATCATGTGGATATCTTGATCAATAATGCTGGTGTTATGCTTTATCCGAAGTTCAAGCTGACCGACGACGGCCATGAGCTGGTCTGGCAGACAAACTATCTGGGTTCATTCTTTATATATTCCGGTACTGCAGTCAAAATTTGTTGAGGAGTAATAACGATTTATGTTGTATAATAGTGTGCTGGCGTTTCTCAAAGAAAATACCACCTTCCTGTGGATTTATATGTCTATCCATTGAAAGCGAAGTGGAAAAACCAACATTACAGCTTGCTGTGTTATGGTGTAGTTTTGATTATACGATTTCAGAAGCAGAACATTCTGTTGCTTATCATCCGTCTTCGCTCATTTCGTTCTATTGTGCTGGTTCTTTTTAGGGCATTTTTTGCTCACCGAGCTACTTCTGCCACTTGTTCGTGCTGCACCAACCGCACGTATTGTAAATGTCTCCGCATTAGCTCATTTTTATGCCGATCCAATTGATTTCCAGTTGATCGATCGCCGAGAAGGATGGGATCCAAGACAGTCTTATTCAAAATCAAAGCTTGCTATGGTATTTGTTTTTATGGGTTATCCGGCATAAAATATTAGCTCCCTTCCAGAATTTGCATCTTTATTGTGAGCTCTATGTAACGCAATTTATCTGAGCTGTCGTTAGTAGAAAAATGCGAAACCAAGCACTTATATTGGTAAACAGTTAAGCTTATACGTTGGTATCAGTTTTTTTAGCGAGTCAAATCAGTTTCTTCTACATAAAACAAAATAGGATGGAGGGATTATCGTTAAGGCGCTCGAGGCGGTTAGATTTTTCATACTTTAACCGCTGAATTTTAGTCTCGTAACAGGCCCCTGTCGACCTTAATGACAGGAAGCGCTCGATTTTCTGAGAGGAATGTGAGGGAACCATACGCATCTCTAAAGAGCATTTTAACGTTTTGCTGTTGACTTCAAATTTTTGAGGTAATGCATGCAGTTGAATTGACAAAACGGCTTCGAGCAACGGACGGATCACATGTTACGATAAATTCGTGTCATCCTGGTCTCTGCCACACGCGACTGATGCGTTACACACCACTGGCAAGCAAACCGTTCAGTTACGTCACAGCTCCGTTCAGGTTAACCCCTCCTATTTCAAATTAATCAGAAAAACTTACTGTGAGCACGGCTAGCATCTGACTGGTTTCAACTGAATGAACAACTGAGCTCAGCCTAACAGCCTTGTGAATTTTCACAGTTCTTAAGAAGGTTGCTACTCCACATCCGTATAAAACTAAGACACTGGAAGACACTGTTGTGGGTCAGGCCACCATTCATTCAATTGTTTTTTCTCTTTTTACTAGTTTTTCGGCTTTTTCATTTATGCAAAAACAAGAAGAAATTCACTACGACAAGAAGGTACTGTTTTCTGTCAATGCATCAGTAAAAAAAAAAAAA